GTTAATAATGCTCAGTTCTTTTTCCAATAGAAGTTATGGTCCATTCGCCATCGAACATCCAAAAGTTCCGGAACCAATCGAGGAGACATCATCAATAGGCATCTGGGTGTGTGCCAAGCTAGAAGGTCAGACTAACAACAAATAAGTGTATCCTAGCTACCAATGTGGCGGTGATGCTACTGACGGGGGGCATGCGAGTAGTATGTTTTCTGCTTGTAAATTTGCATTGCGTCCCTTGAGACGGGAGATCTATTGCGGAATTTTTGGAGTCGTTTTGTAGCATTTGCTTGGATTTGAGCAACAGTCAATTAATAGCCAGGGAAGTTCAGGAAGACGCGTTCAATAGAAGATGGATGTTCAGTTTTTGTAAACAAGATGCATATGGGAGTTTTGCTTCCCTGTCCAATCGTCTGTAACTGGTCAGTTGAGATTTTCTAATAAGTAACTCCGCAGCGGAGGCTTTCTTCCTTTCACCGATATTCCATCACATTATTTGACCAGCACTGACAGGTAACATTCCTAAGGTTAAATGTTTTTAGTAGTAACAGCCTGTATACACTTGGTACATAGACCTTGTTCACAAAGGTAGGTACAGTGACTTTCGTGGCTTTCCGTTTTAGAGTCGAAACTCAAAGAACCCAAAAATACTCAACGGATTTCCCAATAACTTCGACGATGAACTGAAAACAAACCAGAAGACACTCACATTTCCCAAAATTTCTTGCTGGAGAAAGCCGGTCCCCGTTTCTCTAACTTAATGCAAGCAATGCCCTATCCCACATCTTTCCTCACCTGTCGAAATTCTGCATTCCTCGCTACCCACGCAAATTGTTTTGTACGACAGAGATAGGTCACACTTTGCACGTTTTAAACGATAATTATCAAGAAAAATCGAATTATTTTGTTCACCGAGATTACAGCTGAATGGACCTTAACTAACTGCGTTTCAAAAATTAGGATGAAATGTTTATTTCCCTGTAATGAAACTTTGCTTGAATCTATCGAATACTCAAGAGGTTGAGCTTTCCTCACTGTTTGACCACAGTACTCGAGGTACTTGAGGGGTTCTGAAAAATTTTTCAAGTCACAACAACGCCACACTCGTTCAAGCGGGAAAAAATGAACAGTAAATTAGTGACGATACTTTTCGGATTTTACGGAGCAGTAGTGGTCTGAAGATTCGCTTCAAGATATGGTAATCGTTTGTGAATTTTGCAATCCCTGCATGGCTTTGTCTAGTGATGTTCTGAATGAGCTTGCATTATTACAGTCTACTGTGTCACGTGGAAATCCTGACCAGTTGTACTATTATTATTATTATTATTATTATTTAATTCCGCCCTCTATTCAACTTGTCACGGAAGAACATTACTATTTATGATATCGTGATCCGGAACACGACTAAGACTGGTGGTGAAATAGAAAAATCCAACAGAAGATTCTTTAGCAATGTTAAAACTTGAATTTCCCGATGAAAATTGGACTGAAAAATGCATAAACTATTGACGTTCATTGTACATTGCAGTAGGATCGCTTTTGTGAAGAAGCGATTTCTTACTGTAACATTTGCAATGCTGCCATCAAATGTTTTAAAACACTTGAGCCGGTGACTTGTTTTGCACCTGAACCGGCTAAGTTTGTCGTTTACTGGTCCGTGAAACTAATCCATTCAAGCTTTTCTGCGGGCATTACAAACCCCAGATCGGCGGTCAGCAAACTGGCTATTTGGCGCTAAGACTAATGCGCTTGTTACATAGGAAGATACCGATAAGAGAAATACACGTAGAATACACTCAACCGTCGGATAAGTAGCCATTCTGAGGACATCGAAGAAACTCTTTAGGTTAAATTTTGCACCAGTTGTCTGCAGGTTTTAGGACAATTATACCTGGTACTTATCAGAAATCGCGTGTGTGCTTAGACAGCATTTTGGGTACGCAAATAACAGTGTGTCGCAGCCGCGATTCTAAAAAATCAAATATACTTTTCCTTGTATTTTTAAAAATGTTTAAATTTCGGGGTCATTCATTCGGACGTGAAACTAGCCATAGCGCGTTTAGATAGACTGACATGTACCTCCGTTCCAACCGACCTTTTCTATTGCTCGCAAAACGGTGGGAGCGACAGATAGCAAAAATCATACAAGTTCCAATTTTCGGGCTTCTGCGCGTCTGCGCAAGTCGCCAACACTGATCGAACGTCTCAAGTTTGGATTTTGTCTTTTCATAGTATAATGAACTGTCCTATCGTGTACCTAAATTCGTCTAATGCGACAGTGTTTACATCATCCCATGGAATGATTTCGAAGGTTGCTTAAAAACATGCCTGAGTAATGCCGCCGATTGCTCCCAGTCTGAGGTGCAACGATCATTGCTAGATTAGTCCAACATTTACACGACGAGACCAACGTTTTGGTAGAGACCGTGGTCACAGATACAGTAGGATGTAGAAGTTCACAGCATCCTATCAGAAAGGTCAGATTCCTGAAAGCAACCACTGAATGCCCGGAATCTACTGAGACCCTCAGCTCCGCTAGATGCTGACCAAACAGACAACGCCTCCGCGTCGCAGCCTCGTACCAAAGCCAGACCGCGTGCTTCAGCATTGGACCAAGTTAGACAGTGATCCTCCAATAACTAGCTTGGGACCGTTGTACTTTCGCACTCGCGCGCACTCACTCTCTAGCAGTCGCTTGTTCGGAATATGGCTATTGCGTTCCCTTCTGTGAGTCTTCTTTCCGGCACTAGGCAGTGGAGCGGGTCGACAGTCAGATACAGCGAATCAGCAGATATAACACATCCGAAGGCTAATTAGCATTCGACTGAACTTTGTATCCAAAAATGGGTATATAATCACCATGAAAGTTGGAATCGTGCTCGCCCCGAGATGTTACTTATGTCAGTGTAAAGATATTGCTCAATGTTTTCTTGTTCAGCCTCACAGTCGCTAGCAGCATGCAGCTGGAGAAGATGAAACAAAAATTGCCGTTGATATTCTGAGCGTATAATTCCTATTTTAAGAGTAGATACTTAAGATGGCAAATTCTAGTAATAAATTTATAAAGGGGGCTTGTTACAGATAAAAGATCTAACTCAGGTAACCAACTGATTCGGAGGGTTTGAAGTCTCTCGTCATCAGCACTAGTCTGTACTGTAATGGTCCAGCATGAATGGACAATTTTCAGAAGAATTGGTTGTAGACTCCAGTGGGAATTTTCCTATCATTAAGTGGGTCCTCACTGTCATGATTTTGACCTTGGATGAGTTCACGCATCAAAAGCGTCGTACTAATCGGGTTTGCTTTAGTACACCATATTTATCGTCTTCTCGTAATTAACATCATCTAGCTGTTGCTGAGGCAAACGAAATGCCGTTCTACGTAAAGCAAGGATGCTTCGAATTCATGGAGGGATAGGTGTGCACCTATGAAACTAAGTCTGATTTCATAGAGTAGGATGTGGTTAAATCGGCAGAGTAATCCAGTGCGCTTTTCTTCAGATGGATAGGGTGAGATCGTTCATCTGAGCTTTTGGCATACAAACCCTTACTTTTACCGCAGCGTCTCGAGGTCATTAGCAGATTTCGGGGGCATGATGAATGTGAATCAAGATAGTTTATTACTTTAAGTTGAATGATCACGACTTGCATAGTATCCTGCAAAATCACTAGTGTGGCTAAACTAATGAATCATTCTTAAATTTGACCTCTGATATAGCATCACGTTTAGGATTGACGAAAACCCTTCGGCGGTTAACGACCGCTTTCTGCCTATCTGGGCTCATCGGTCTAAGAGAGTGACCTTCACAGTGAACTATCCAATTTTGGTCGACAAACACTATGTAGATGATCACATTGTTCTATTGCAACAATTTTTCAGCGTTTTATAGACGGAAATTCATTGCAATTTTAGTTTGGCAATACACCTATCAACAGGGCTTCAATACCCCTCATAATACATAAGTTGTGCTCGGGAAAGAAAAATTCATCGCTGGATTAGGCAAAAGTACAGCTCAAAACGGAAACATGTACATGTAGCGTTCACAATTAAAGTTCAACTCGATTTTGGCAACACCATTTCTTTACTTTAATTTTTAGTTGGTCTGAATATCGCGGTGGATAAAGTGCAGCGCCGAACAGGAAAAAAATCCCAATTCCCAAATATACCCAAGTTGGTGACCAGGCATGCCTTTCAAACAGTTACCCCGACGACGATCGACGGAAGCTAGAAAACGTGATTTCACCAGAGACAGCGATGGTTCCAACTGGGCCATCAATATCGGTCAAGTCAACTGGAATCATGCTGGGAAATCCTTTTTCCCAAAATGGAAAATGGAGGGGAACATCTCATTAGGGCCAAAAAACTCACCAACGAAAAACCTAACCTTAAGCCGCACTTTATTTCGTGAGTCACCAATGCGTGCGCGTGTGCATAACATGTGTAGTTATTTCTCCGGAGTGCGCAGTCTCAGACACAACGAAGTTTGTCGGACTTGACAGCTCACGTCCAATTTATCGTCGCACAAACGCACACACGGCGCAACAAGAGAATTTGCATTCCTGATTTATTGGTGCTCGAGCATTGAACTGGTTTTTGGCCCCACTCGTCGGCTGACCGCACTCATCCAACGCTATTGGTGTTGTCCGACGTGTGTTGCGCGCTTGAGCGTGCCTGTCTGCGCTTCGCACACTCCATTCTGCGCACGTGGTCCCGTCCCCCTGATTGGTGCATGCAATTAGGCGAACACACATAAACTCCGCAAATGAAGCTCGGCTGTGTGAATGAGTGAGCGCAGGATCGAGCACGGACTGACATGTGGTGTGCAGACGAGGCAGTCAGGAGATAGGCCGCGCAAACACGCAATGCTAGCTAGAAACAATAAAACAGACACGTGCATTCACACCCACCCACCCACCCACGGAAAAGCACGGTACTTACTTCAACCTTAAAAGCAATCGATTAGTGACCCAAGTATGGAACTGCGCGTTACACCTATGCGGTGGTGCTCGTGGTGGTGCACTAGTCGCCTGCCCAAGTTCAACACCGGAAATTCATTGCATTACGCACACCTAACAAGAGGGTCAAATTGTGTTGTTTCTATCTGGCTTTTGGATTAAGCCACCAAGATTTACATGGTTAATTCAGAGACGGGCACTATGCAAGAACCTCGGGAGATTTTTCGACGTTTCCGTCCCCAAATTGTACCTGTTCGCACACCTGTCAGGTTGAGGAATCACCGGAGTCTTTTTAATTTGAGTAGGTCTTCTCTAGAGGAAACGACTGTGCCTCTGGAAGAAGCTAAAAAACCTCCACCTAAATATTCTGGTTTGGGGCGTAAAGTACCCAGGATGTTTCGTTGGGGAGGCTCAAAAAAAACCTCCATAGGTGAGCCAATGACACAGGGCTCTGCAGAACCGACGAGACAACCACCTGAGGAAGGTGGATTTCTGGGACATTTGGGAATCGGGCATTATATTGCCGCTGATGATAATGCTTTCTTAAATTGTGAGAGCAGTGAAGATACCAGTGCAGCGACAAATAAAGGATATTCGAAGTCACTGGTGAATTTGTCCTCAATCACACCCTGGTCTCACAACAACTTTGACTCAGTCGGAATTCTAGCTCCCAGTACAAAAACAGAAAGTGACGGCGAAAGCTTGTCGACATCTTCCAATTGCGACCCTTTAGGAGCCTCTCCCGCCCTAGCATCACGTCCTTCTCTCGTTGATCTGCGGAAGAAAAATGCAAAAAATGCTACACCAATACCGGAATTAATTAAATCCGTGTTTTTCACAAATCTACCAGTGGATGATTCGTCATCCACCGGTCCTGATACTTTGACAAATTGCGACAGTACCTCAAGGACATATCTAGAAGTCGAGGATGAGCCTAATGCATTTCTTCCGGCCTTGCTAATCACCGAAGCATCCGGAATACTTCCAGACAAAACCTATACGGTAAGCTGCCCGTATTTTTGCATTTTTTTCAGATTAAGATGTTTGGTGAGGTTTTCAGCCTTCTTAAGACATCATGAGTCAAGGGAAGGGCGAAGAAAGAGGGCCACATGAGAAAGAGCTCTTCGGTTTTTTTTTTGAATGTGGTCTCTCATTTGTGCTGTCTGCAATCTGAACCCAGTGTACCAGGTTATGGAAAGTCAGACTGATACTCTCAACCGACCTTTTAAACAGGATATTTCCTAGTTAAATACTGTGCGAATCCTGCTGAAATTCTCATAGTTTCAAAACTGGCTGCCCGGGTTACATGCAAGCTAAATGGCATCTGTTAACGTCAGCTATGGCTCATTTTTCCCTTTTTTCTTCCACAAATCCCCATGAAGATCAACATCCACTCTCAAATTCCTCTTGTATATGCGATTCTGTGCTTTAAAATTGGTTTGCTAAATCTTACTAACTACCGTCGAGAATCAGCTTCTCTCTTAGGACAACTTCGTTATAAAATCCCGTGTACAATACAAAGCAAGCTTTAATCAGTTTTTCAAGGAACGAAATCTCAGATGGACTTTGGCCATGGAAAAGTTGCCTGGACTTTGAAAATAGCTTGCCATGAATACTACGCTCATTGAGGGGTCAAATAAATGTCTGGAAGAAGGAATGTTAGGATGAAACTGTCTTCTGTTATTTGTTAGTGAACTTGACACTCACTGCACATCTAGTCTAAGGTCGGAGATGGGGTCGTTTTCAACCAGCTTTTCTTTGGATTTGTTGTCTTTTTTTATGGACCGAAATTAATCCTTGGTGTAAAGGTTATAGGTCCCCTAGGAAGGTTAACTGTCACCCCCGAAGCAATGAGACATTCTATGACTTCATAAGACTGGACCTCCTTGGAATTTGGTCTTTTGTAGAAGGTAGTCAGTCAGACAAAAGCCAGTCTTGTGCAGGTTCTGAGTGTACTAATACCACGCTGACCCTCCCGCAGTTAGATACTCATTTTGTGTGTGGAGATGTGTGCCCTATAGTTGTTTTGTGATAAACGAAAGCGACAATCCTTGTTGCCTGGATACATCACAAACGAGAGATTCAGCTGGGTTCTCGGTGAGTCTCTCGAAAACCAAATTAGTTAGTTCGCTAATTTCGTGTAATTTGGTTTCAAGTAGAACATAAGGTTGACGGAAACCCGGGGACTGCGCCTGCCTGAGGAGCCTCTGTCGTGGGCTGTCGACTCATTTTAGCAACCTTATGAGTAGTGCATTACAGATATATAGGAATCTTTTACTTGCTCTTTCATGATATCTGAAATTCGGGGCAGCCAAAACGTCTGCAGAACTTTGGTACTCAAAACACTCCACACACAGACCCCTCTCACGATCCAAGGTAATTATGTCAACGTATTCGAGCGAATGAAATCAAACAGTGCTTCTGACGAACACATTTTTTCCCGATTTCTTCCGCGTTGAGTTTTGACAGTTCATAGTTGCAGTATGCAGTAGCATGCATTAAAAAGTAGCGCACATTTTTCTGCCTCTGGGAAAGGAACGAAAGGCGGAAATTATCTCTAAACTGGGAGTTAAATGGCTCTACTCACAATTGATCTTCGAAGGAAGTACTACATCTCAGAGGTGAGCCAACGTAGAGAACCTCATGATTACTCGGTCGAGTTCAGATTCGAGGTTACCAAAGAGAATGTCCAAACTGGCTGGACATCGTTGAACTTCACCAGCGAGTTGATTGTTGGGTACCATTGGGTACCACACTGAAATACTCTTTTTCTTTAGTTGACGTATTCACAGGAATACCATATTTGACATTAAAACGATGGAGTTTTGCTCACCAGTATCTCCTTATCATCAGATTGGTGTATACAAAATCGAATGACGCTTGCACAACACAGAAACACGTCTCGCAGTGCGTCAACAGGCCTAAAACTAGCCGTAAAATATCATTCAGAATTCCAGGTGTCCTCATGGATACATAGATTCAACGTCCGTACTGAATTGTAGTTAGTGAACGTAGAGGAGTGCGTAAAGCTTAGCTTTCATGATTTGATGGTCGTTTTATTAGTTGACGTTCGGTTAAACCCAAGATTACGATCAGATCATTATCCTTCCTTTTTCGAGGACTTGTGACCAATCAGAATAAACGACTTGGCGAAGAGCAAGTTGCCATATTATCCACCAGCCAGTTAGTGAGTCGGACTGTGAGTACACACGTACTGGCCACCTACCAACTTCTGTAAACTTCCACTGTTCAGCCACACAACTAACTGGGGCTCTGTATACTCCCCATCAAACATTCCAATAATCGACGGAACGAACCTTCATGGTGACATGCTGTACAAGAGAAGTATTAACTGCTGTCAATTATGATTTTCTGCGCAGGTAATGAAAGGGCTCAATCTCACAGTCTGGCAAAAGAGGGACGGATCAATCAATCAGAATCCATCCATAATGTTCCAGTAGTCATTCATCGAGAAAAAGAACGCGCTTCGTTGGTCATTCACTCCAAAGCGATTCACCAACACTGTGATCAGCGTGGGCAGTAGCATTTACTGTGGTTTACAAAAGCTACCTGTGTTGTGCATCAAGCCAAGGAGCTAACTGAAGGCACTGTCAGCCAAAACGGACCCTGCTGTCTTGACGTAACACACCACTGTCGAATAGTTATCTGCAACCCTCGGACTGCTTTGCCCTTCTTGGGTCACATCAGATTATCACAGTCCCTGGGTTTCTCTTATGTGCTACTTAAACACCAAATTGGACGCAATCGGCTAGTTGTTTTAGCTGAATTTCAGCTAAATTTCTCGTTTATGACGATATGTTCTGCAAGAAAATAGACTGCGATATCAAGAATGTGGTACCCGAAACTTGAGGTGGCTTCAGTGTGCAGCACATTCAGTTGAGTCAGATCATAAAAAGAAAAACTCGGGGGATTCAGTTGGATCTTCAGTTAGCGACGTTATTTTGCAAATAGATTTATTTCTTCAGAAAAACCGTGAGTCTTTCATCTAATACCGAAAGACACATGAATGGTTTATTTTCTATGAGCCATTGGTACGTATTTTAAATGAATTGATGGTGACCAATGGGTTAGAATTATAGACGGGTCCACATGTTAGACCCTTCCGACCAAGGTGTATTTTAGAGTGGAGATCTCCATTCGAGAGGATTAGATGAAGTGCTAGCTTTATGAGACAAACACTCGATAATGTTTTGTCTGTGTTTGAGAAGGTCCCTTAAATGCAAGGTACTTACAACGGTCAGTGCTTGAAGTGGGGCCGAGAAGACCGTTTTTCAATGTGGCTAATGAATTCGAGAAGCGTCACAAGTACTACTCGTTCTGGTCTCGTTTAGTATGGTTTAGTCTACTTTGCACTCTTTCTAAGACTGTCTACCTGCTCCTGTTAATCATTCCTAATCAATCGTTGATGCTGAGGAAACACGTCAAACAAATTATCTTGCTGAGTCTGTTCATGTTTTGCGATTTCCTCCCGTACAGTGGTAGCTGCTAAAATTGGTTAAATTCTTTGGTCTATGTTTGACGGGGTATGCTTAACATCTAAACAAGTGTAAATTTTACAGAACCCGGACAAAATAGCTTATTTAGGTGAGGAAGTACCAACTCATGGAGGTGAATTCGAAACAGTATGTTAGCAGACAAGGAAAACTGGCTAGAGAAAAAAATGCTTTTTTTGAGAGTTTTGTTCCAAAGAGTCACGTCGGTAACACCCTGAGTTCCATGCAAGAACATTCGCACTGGTACAGCGTCTTTTATTAATCAACTTCCCATTAAGTGGTCGCGCTTTGGAGCATCTTTGGAGTGGCGATGCAGGACAACAGAAGTGTGGCTCGTGGCCGCTCAGCCTAAACTCACTAGTTTGACTGATGAGACAGGTGAGCAGTGGACAAAAAGCTTCAGATTCATCCGACTTTTTTTAAATAATATGTTCCGTTTTCTCCAAGATTGGATGAGAAATCTGCATTTTCTGGTTTCAGCTTTACTTTCTTCTTGGGCAGCAAATAAACAGCGTATTGCGTTTCCCATTCAGCTTTGTCTTTTCACATGGCTATTACCTGCTAGAATCTGCTGCCCAAAATGAGTGAAATGTTTGTCCCTTGCTCGTTTTTCTGCAAGTCACCCACGATTGAAATTAAAGCGATGCTTTGATAGGGATAAAACGCAAGCTATCAACCACATTGAAACAAACTTTCCTCTGTGTAAACTCATGGTAAAAGTTTCTAGCTTTTAAGCCATACTACGCTTACGAGTCATAAATTTTACTAAAAATGCTTGTCGCAAAGTAGGGTGTTTTTATTTCTGTATAAAGACAGCGTAGAAAAGTACTGGAGAATCGGAATTTCTGCACTTATCTGCAGTGCAACAAAACAGTTTTGCTATTCTTTAGAACCAAACACAGGACGTAAGACTATGAAGCACAGTAATAGCTTCAGGATAGCTTCCTTGTGGCAATAATTTAGTGCGCAAGGATGTTATCGATCGAAATGTTCAAGAGGAAAGTATTGTTTGGGTTCTCGAGAAATACACTCATTTTGGTTTTCACGAGAGACTCAACTGGATCTCTCGTTCAGGATATTCTACAACTGAATGTACTGCACACAGGCCACTCCATGTTCCAGTTGGCACGATATTCGAGATATCGCAGCATATTTTCATAAAGGAAACTACTCACAAGTTTGCTGAAAACTCTTCAACAGCCCACGATCGGTTTTAATCTTCTTGGGGCTCATCAGGTAGGCGCAGTCCCCGAGTTTCCGCCAACCTTATGTTCTACTTGAACCCGAATTGGACTGTTTTCGAGAAATGCACTCATTTGCAAATCAATTTGGTTTTCAAGGGAGACTCAATTGAATCTCTTGTTTATTATATTCTACAACTGAAGGGTGAAACCGGTCGTGGGCTGTCGAAGAGTTTTCAGCAACCTTGTGAGTAGTTTCCTTCATGAAAGTACTGTTTATGTTGTCTGATCACTGACCGCTCGGGTCCTTGTGCTTTGTCAGTGTGTGAATATTTTTAGGTGGTGAGCAATTTCCAACGATCGACTTCAATTTAAGTGAATCTAATTCTTCAGAATAGTGGAGTAAACTACTAAAATTCAGATATTTTTGCTGCGGATTTTGTAGTATGTTCATCTGGACCTATCATAGCGGATGTACCGCAGTGTTCAGGGTTATCAGACCTGCCTATCGACTGAGATACTATCATCCACTGAAGATGTTTTCTAGCGCAACAAGCAGAATAGATTAAGCTGTTCCGAAGCACCCTGGTATTGTAACCTAAGAATCGGATCAACGTGATCCTTGTCTTTCGTAAAAGCGACTTCGCATTGTGATGGTAACACAAAAAAAATTATGAGCTTTCCGATGAAAAAGTGACTACGCGTGTGCGCAACACACAAATGGCGGAGTCTTCAAAATGAGTGTGCTGGACCACACGCAATGTCGTGCGTGACGTAGAAGTAATGTGGTGGTGCAACAGATGTATTCCAGCGAAAGCAATTCACCAATTATTGGCAACAGGTGGTCTTCGTGCCGCTCTCTTGCATCTGCGCAGTCCACAAAATCAACGAGTGCCAGGTCCGTGCTTTGTATCTATGAGCGCCTAAATTACGACTTAGTTATACTGCAAAGTGTATCCAGGAAGTTAACATCCAAAATATACGACTTCCACCAAGCCGGTAACCAAAAATTTAAGATGACCATAGTACAAATCCCGGGAGACTCATATCCGTGTAACAGGGAATCCGTGCCCTAACAGTGCGAAAACGTTCGTTTAGTACCATTCATCTATTATTTGCCCTCCTAACTCAGCACAATGAGGTCAGATCGGTAGCAAGCGATCGGTTGAGTTGACAAAAATTGTAATAACCAGGTGGTCGAACAATAAGTGAGCCTCCAGTAGATCCAGATATTTGTTCTGGATCACTGTTGTTAAGCGTTCTCAGCATGAGTTGTCCCTGTGAGGCGTCATTGAATGAACCCACGTATGTTTTGCTTGTATCCACAAGTAAAATTTTTCATCATCTTTGTGGGCAAAGGCGAATTTTTTCCATCTTCAAGTTAGTTTTTTTTACCTGGTAGCCATACATGTGTAGTAAGTAGATCAGTCGTTTGTTCCAAGATTAGTTGGATTTCTGGAATTTTTGGGATAGCATTGACTACCGCTTGCAGCACGTCGGAGTTTAGGGAGGAGCTCCTCAGTTTAGCGAAACCAACCATTCAATGCTTTGGATACCAAGACTTGTCAAAATTTGCGGCTTATTGCCATAATACCATTGCGTATCGCCGGTAGATTCATCTACTAAGAACACGAAACGCAGTGTCACCCATTCTGGCACCTCCAGCTATCTGCATTTCCATTACGGAAGACGTTTTCTCAAACTTAGATTACTTCTCTTGTGAGAACACTCTGCACTTGCGGTTAGTTTTGGCCTACATCTTGCGTACTCATTATGGGAAGCGGTTTACTGCATTTTATGTTCTCGAAGTGCAAGTATTATCCACCATATGACGGTCCAAATGAAATGGGGGTGTAAAGTGAATAACTAGTTAGTTTGGAACAATGAACACAATAAAGCGGTACTCTTTCAACGCTGATCAGATGAACTATTCACTGACCACTAGATAACGTACTATCCATCAATTATCATTTATTTTTTAAGAGCATCGTAACAAACATAAAAAGGGAATGCAAGCGATGAATGCGAAAGAGTAACAGGAGAGTATGGGAGAAAAGGGAGAAACGTCTCATTCGAACTCATGCCAAGAACAGTTCCAGTCTGGTGAGATGAATCCCAAAGTATGTAAAACTTTTGACATGGAAACACGCAACCGAAGAATGGACAAACGGTCAATGCTCTTCAAGGCGCGGTAGGCGATAGCACAGTCAAGACTCGCACATCAGGCACAAAGTGTCCGTCATACTGGGTCTTGTGTGAGATTAAATGGCAAAAATGTACATTCAATGCCATGTATTACGCATAAAAGTGTCATAAGTACGCAGAGAGCCCACAATGGCAAGCAAACACAAGTTATTGACTGCGACCTTAGGAAGTCCCAGTCCAATAACAGCCTTAGCGGATTGAGGAAAGCAGATCCCTCGATAAGAGATGATCATCGGTTGGTGAACCAAAAAGTCGACATCACAACCGATAGCATGTAGGGCTGTTTATACTTATACTTATACTTATCTTCATTATGTCATCATGCAATTTTGGGAGTTGCACCCACAGTATGTTAAGTGAATTAGTAAAGTGAACCAAGGGCTAAAATCTCCTGAGCATTCTTCATTATATTTGCTAAATTTCACTCAAACACAAGGCCATGTGTTCGAAATCTAATTTGTTAGTTCCAAGGGAACTGTGACTGTTTTACACGTTCTGTTTGTCTCAAGATGATGAAAAACATGGTGGACTGCGTATCATCGAGTATAATCAAGTTGCCGAATCATAAAGATAAGAGTTTGCCAAAAAAATGACAAAATGAGCTGATTGTCGTAAGCCCCCAGGAGAACTGTGATGACGCAACCCCTAGTAGTGAGTGTGAACGTTCACAGCCGGTGAAATCGTCGTTTGAGAGAATGTCTTATGACAACCAAAATTCACTATTTTTGGGTGGTTGCCTTCATTAGACGAATGTTTGTCAGCAAAACAGACCTCTCTTGGAACGGTTTCGAACTCAGAGAGACGCGTGATCATTCCTGTTCGATTTTGAATGTCAGTAGATAGATGTGAAGCTGGTTGACACTCTTACTCTAGAAATAAAAGAAAGCTATAAATATTGATTTGTTAACAGCACAGGGATTGTCAGTCAAGTGAATGACGGATTAATACGAAAAGCACATTTGTTTTGAACATTGCAGTAGAGAAATTCACCAACTCATGATACAAAGACTATTTGGTGAAAGTAAAGCATCGACTCATCGTTTCAGAAGACAATCATAATTTCACTGATTTGTTAATCCCCCTCTAACTTGTTTCCTACCTCTCCAAATCTCCCAATGCAAGATCACAACGTGGTTCTAGGTTCCTTTAAATATTGGTTTCTTATGTATTATTCAACATCCAAAGCTATGGTTAAATTGGTTTTATAGATCACATTCGTACTAAGGCCCTCCTTGGAACTCTAACTGCTTTTTGTTTACGCTCTACTGTTTTTGGTTCATTAGCGTGAGCTTGTCTACGAGTACCACAAACACCGTATATTGGGAATAATCATAATTTGTTAGAATGAACGTCTTCGCGTCTTTTTCAGTTCCGGGTTTTACGGGCGGTGCACGCACACCATTCGTCTAAAATACACATGGGAAACAGTCAGTAGCATGATAGCGAAGGTGTGTTGCACATTCGTACTTGGATTTAGACAACATCTGATCCGATGCTTCTGAGTATAGCTGCCAGTCAGTGAGCTCGAGACAGCTCAGTGATTATTACGCGAACTTATTGACCGGAAGATCAGTGGTTCGAACACAACCATGGCGTCTACGCAGCTCCTGTCTAGGCTTAGGCAACCTGGCAGTAGCTCTGCCCTCGTGCTTCTTCCGGGTTGCCTGGCAGCTAAACACCGATAAGGTGTTACAGCTGAATGATTATTTTAGTTATTTCATTAGTTAGGGCAGCCATTGTGGTCGAATGTATCTATTTTAACTTCTCAATCGCTAATACAGCTTCTTGAGTGCATGGGCATATATCGGCTGAAATCAGAAGTTGCCGATTATGTGCATATAAGTAGTTGGCAGTTCACGTGTATTTTTAGCTGGCACTACACTGCGATTGAATACAACTTTCGGACTGATGGACGGAAAAGAACTCAAATCTCAGGCAACCTTGTGGTCCAGCTCTCCAGACGATAAGCACCTGACTCGAATTTCCCTCCCATTAGAACTCACCCCAAGTGCCTAACCCTAGCGGTGGCTGGAAACCTGCTTTGCTGGAATCGCAATCAAACAACGGAAGACAAACACTGCCATCGTGAGCTGTTGCACATCCCTCGAAATTTTGTTTGCGATGAACGATGAAGGGTGTTAAGTAAGTTTCTCATGAAATTCTGTCTTTCAACGTCATTGCCGTTTGTGCGTCTCAGATATCCTGTGCGTACGATGCTCCTCCTGCTCCACTCAAATCTCACACATTAAAGAACATAGAAAGCACAACATAGTTGTGTGATTGGCATTTTTACCTGCAATTGTTGATCTACTGACTTTCTTTGCTTGGTGGCACACAACGTTTACAGTTTGCTTGATTCGCAACTTTGAGGCCAACATACTTTGCCATGCATTAACAAAATTGATGAATCACCTCTAAACTGTGTACTCTGAAACAAAAGGTGTTGAAAACTAAGTAGTTAGATATGGTTGGTCATCCACGCAGTTGTCAAAGCACCTGGTCCAACAAATTCACAATGTACCTTGTAAATTCAGTGTGCTGTTCACTGAAAAAGGCGCGTGAAACTGTTTCAGACTTTCTTGCCGGTATCTGAGTTATCATCTAGCTATGCCGTTTATTGACCCAATCCGCTGAAGTGCTATAGCAACCTTCTTACTCAGTGTTCATACAAAGCGCTGGGTAAAATCGGTTTAAATTGACCGCTTTAGCCTAGACTACCGGTTGTTTTCTCAACCTGCCACGTGATCTTGCTTTCCTCTTCAATACTACTTCATTTCAAGATGTCAGTTATGTGGTGTATAGTAAAATCGAGCCGTAAAACCTATTGATCAGTCTAATTGCTTACTCGCTCAATAAAGCACGCAAAGTTAACTTCACCGTGGTATGTGTTGAATTTGATCCAGTTCACCGCACTGCGCATATCATTGTCATTAAGCACTGCTGTTGCACCGAAAACATGGCAGAGACCAGAGATGAAATGTAACAATATGCTAGCGGCGTGTATTAGTAGCCAGTGAAACGAAATGCGAAAATATTTTATATACATGAATGGTAAGTTAGATGGCAAGGTGGTAGATACACTGAATTTGCTAGACGAATTATCGTGAAATCAGAATTTCATCCAGCCATCAAAATATCGGTAATCTGCTTATCCAGGGACCTGTTTCCTGGTGGTTGATCAGATGGTAGTTGATCTGTTCGCCGAGCTTGGTAATTGGCTTGCAAACGTTTCATCCCCAGTCGAGGCGACATCGTCAGTGCACAGTTGAATGGGAGCTGTTTCACAAGTCGCATGAATCTTCCTTCTGAGACGTCGGCACTCGAGAAGCCAGTCAATACGTAACCACGCGAGTCTAGTGAGTCTAATGAATGCATGGTATCAAGAATGGTATGCAAGAACGAGCTGATTAGCCCGCCGATCAACCGTTCGTGATCAGACATCGAGATAACCTCCACCCACTAACCAGGAGAGAGTTTACCGGTTTGAATTTCCCTATGGGTTCGCAAGATGCTCATTACCGTTGATGCGCAAGAAGGACCAAACTTCTTACAGTGTTTATCTGATTTTTGGCATACACTGATTGTAATTGCAAGGTGAAGTCTCTGCTAAGGTATTAAGCTAGTCCACACGAAGTCTATTGAATCGGTCTGATGGCTGAGTCAATTGAGGTCTTCGCACATCGGAAGGTAGTTACTTGCAGGAACGGGGAGAAGGGATAGTGGCCAATATTTTGCATTACGCATTATTGGACTGTTTGTTACTAACATATATTATCGTGCTTCTGGCTACCGTAGCGAGGTAGTACACGGTAAACTGGGTAGGAAGGATCGATTCAAACGAGTGTATGATCTTCTTTCCTCCTGTCAAGCGGTGCCAGGGTTCACCGAAGTTACGGTCTTTCTTTGCCTTCTCAAGCATTTTTGCGATGTTAGTTGAACCGGCAAGAACAACATGCACCAACCTTCTCTGTTGCGCTGACTCAGGTGCGCGGCATCAATTTGGCACTTAGCATGAGCACAGCCAAACAAACTGTCAGGCTGCGCTTCTGCGACATGTATGTCCACTTTTGCTCCTTCAGAAGCTACCAGATTTGAGCAGACTTATCAGGGATTTCGGTTATTCTGTATGAGGCATTCACAGCCTAGCATTAGCGTAATATATGAAGAGAATTCGGTTTTACGGCTGTCCAGTTAATCTGTAGCGGAGGCCTATAATTCATAAAAACTTCTGAAGTTGTTATTAATGAATAAGCAGGTTATCTTAGCTTTTGGTATCCCACCTGTTTTATAGGTAGCGCTCAGCTGGTTGAGCCTGTGAACATACCATACGTTGGATGGTGATGTGTAGGCTGCTGAGGCGGAATTCCCCAGAATTACTGCTGTGTTCGTGGCAAGTGAGCAGTCCTCTCGCGTTTGTTGTAGCGATGCACAGACGAACGATTTATGGTGATAGATTCGGCCGGCGAAAACTGTACCAAAGTGGGCGTACAGAAGACAACCTTCTCCGAGTCACTGCAAGCAACGTCGTGAAGTGTAAATGACATCATTGTTAGCCAGTGCTAAGTGCCACTCTCAATCGAAGTTCGGCACCGAAAGGGGTCCCCGAGAAATTTACTACTGTACACCTAACAACAAGTATCCTGGTTTCTTTAACCGACAAAATCGGAATTTATGAGTCACTGACGAATAGGAAAATCACCCATTGAATATTTTAGGTGATTAAAGGTATCGCTGAGGCTCTTGGTACTTTTTGCAGTTTTTGAGGTAGAAAGGGTGTTGAAAACGGCATTCTAATCCATTCTGATCAAAGATGGAATGCTCTGTCCTTTTAGGATATTCCAACTGGCTATCCGCAACATACGCATCCATCTATAACCTACGATCATTCCTCTACAAACCAAGAACAGTAGCCCATCGGGGTCAAATTATTCCTCAATAAAAACAGCTTTGCTAATTTGTAAACTGTGCTGTTCCCTTGGACTGTTTCCAACATTCTATTGTTTGCACTACTGGCATGATTTCCCCGTAGAAATTCAGGTTAGCGGCGCGAAATCCGTTCAGAAAGCGGCTGAGGATGAAGTCATGGATACATGTTGGTCGCGTGACCGAATTCGTTGTGTCTGTTGCGTCACACAGTGTCTCATTATGCAAGTCCGTCAACATCAACCAAGTGCCAGGATTCTGAAGATAAGAAAACTAAAAAAATAGATTGTGAAGCCATGCGTGTGACGAAAACGAAAAAAACAGAGACAACATATTTGCGGAGACAGCTGCGACTCCAAAAAACTAGTTATCAAGTGATCCTGGTTCCAAACTGCAACTTGGTTCATCTCTGAGTCAACGCTATCATTGACGTTTTCGGGTCAATCTCTTATTCGTTTTTTTCTGCTGTGGATGTCTCCGCAGCTAGCCCATGGGCTTTGGGACCTTGCAACTTTTACATCCATTGTTCTTGTTGTACACATTCTAGAAGACTTCCAAGCTGTATACTTTTTCGTATGTCGAAGCGCGACGCAACTAACATTCCTCAGTCAACATCTGACCACGTGATGTGAATTTTGTGAATGAAGCATGAGCGGTGTCACATTACGTCTAAGTGCGGGCTGATTATTGGTCAGCTGCCGAACGGCTTGGGTTTCAACAACTAGTTGGGTAGTTGCGAAATCGATCTTCTGAGAAATTCGTGAATGTTTGCTATCGATGATTCCCAATAAGAGTGAAATAGGTACACAATGCTTTTTCGCTGCTGATCGCTTCACTTGTACGAGGAAAACACCCAAATCAAGGAGACATAGTTTTGTCCTTGATGGACGTGGGGACCGTTGGGTAACCTGGTTGGTGCACTTTCTAGTGCATAGACATTTGATCAAGCTTTTATTGTCAAAACTGCTATCCCGCTGGCGTCGTTGAGGTGCGAGACCCTTTGTCGAACACCGCTTTAGAAAGTGCATTTACAACAAACAATATCTTGACTGTATGTAACTGTGACATCTCGGTCTACTATCATTACATTTCTCACACCCTTCTATACTCAGTTCACGTAGACTGAATGCTTTATACGTGAATTTTATATGATCTGTTCTATACGAAATGTGATTTAGGGTGCCCACCTGACCAGTTGCTCATAGATGGTCAGATATGCTCGCTTATGGATAACTCTAACCCTCAAAGCTCGATCAACAAGTGTGTTATAGAAGGACCTAAAGCATCACAACAAAATCTAATGATTGATTTAGAATTGTCAGGGATAGTGTGAATCATATCGGGACGGACATGCAGTCCGAAACACGAGTTATTACAAATTATCTTAAGCCTTTCTGAGACGATCGCTAAATTGCCTTTCGGATCACAGATACGCATCTAAGACCAGTTGATCTTATTCGCTATGATGTTCCACCACTTCGAAAGTTTAAGTTTTTGAACTTCACAGTTTCTCGCATTCCGTTGATTTCTAGACTTTGATCAAATTTGGATCATAGAAAAGCAAAGTGCAGCGGAAACCCGTGGCAAATTGACCACTGGACTTAGGCACATGATATCAGTCTTCTCCGCGTTGCTGTGTTGGAATTTCCACGTGTAATCCTCCGCTCCATTGCTTAAGGCGGCGATCGCAACTGCCATTCATGTGACTAACTAGTTTAAAACTACCGGAAAATGCTACCCAATCTGGAGATTGCTTAAACTGTGCTTCGTTTACCCAGTGAAGATTTTCTGGGTCGCATGGAATATATATATATATATATCTATATATATATATATATATAATTCAGTTGTTGCATATATAGGGGACCCTCGTTTACACTACATCATACTGTTAAAACTTTGGGAACACAGCTTACTCGGTGTGTCGCTTATCGACGTCAGATTTCCACGAACAGTCGCGAATCTTCCTCTTACGGATTCAAAGCAGGGATGGACGGTCACAACCGCTTTTCTAGATGTTTCTTGCCACTCACCCATGGTGGACACATTGTTTGTAATAAGATTTCTGAGCCACTTTGTTTCACGTCTCGCTGGCAGGATTCATTTTCTCTTCCCAAGCACCGTTGTGGGAAATGGTGTGTTGCTTTCAGTTCGACAGGCACGCTATTAGACAATTTAGTCAACTTTTTCGAAGTAATTGCTCTTCAGTGTCCTGATTTTTGAAGACACTTCTACATCAATCAAACGGAACTGAAAAAAACTCATTCAAGGCTAAAGTTAGTCGCCGTTCATTCCGAAATTTTCTCCGGTGCTTTGTGGGTTGTTTTCGCTTGAGCGTTGACCATCGTCGTTTTCCATGTTTTTAACGATAGCATAGATCGTATGTGTGGCTAAGTTCTTGGATCACGGAAAAGAAAAGCATTAAGTTTAACCGCCACAAACTGTTGCATCTGATACTAATAGTC